GAAAAAACCCACAGAGTTTCCGCTTTCTTCCTTATGAACATTTTCCGAATAATGTTCAGTTTACATCGTCCCTTACATTCATTTGAAAGTGTACTGGCAAATTAAACACAAAGGTAGAGTGGGGTTTCGACGTGATGCGATAAATTCAAATGACGCATATTCCACGGAACATTGCCGAAGCTTATTCATTTCCGAGGAGATCATTTCTGAAATGTCATTGTAAGTGGTTAGTATGTAATAAATACATAGTGCTTTTGTTTTAAGATTCATACAGTTATATCACGGGTGTTATAATTAACATCATTTGACAAGGCGAACTACGCATGTCGTGTGAATGACTGGTGGTATTACATTCATTCTCGATTGAACGTGAGATTGATCGTAGGACATTTAGTAAGCATACTTGTAAATTATGTTGTTGACTACAATGTTAACATTTAAAAGTGTAGAAACACCGTAGAGTTAAGACAAACGTGGATTTCTGAGGATAGCTTTGAAAATACTGTGAATAGCTAAAATGACTGAAGAAAACTTGCTGATCAAAATTTATTGAAGAAAGGAAATGAAACTTAGAAACCGACGATAATCGCTGGAAACATGTATTGCAGAAATGTTGTAGCAAACATTGTCAATAGGCTAAAGAAAGGACAGAAGAGACAAACACAAAAAAAATGCCGGCTAGTTCCAGGAACCAGCATGGGAGAGTCAACAACAAAACTAATAACATGCATCGGATACTGCCAAACATGGCGCCCAATGCGTGCATTTGATTATTATGTGTAGTTGGAGAGTTATCCTGATGTACACAGTATGTTATATATACTTACCAAAAGGTCGGATATCCACAAGCATTTGAAAAGTTCAGCTGAACTGAATGTTAACAAAGCATTATAACGCGTCCTAGTTGTCGGAGCAAACAAACGTTCTTTAGTGATTGTACCCCCACTCGAATTCAGATAGTTGCAGCCTAATGTGACGTAGCCGCCAGATGTACAGGCAAGCTGAGACTGGTGACAAAAAGCGTGGTACCTAACGCTACCGCAATGAGATCCGAACGAGAAACACTGACCGGCACCTGAGTTGTCACACAGTAGTAGTGTCTGTAAAATGTGTGTGCCAGTGGGGCTTTGTTCCGTAAACGCCGCAGTGTTCTGAGGAGAGTCCCCTAGGTTCACTACAACTCGCACGGTAGGTGCATCGGAGTCCTGAATAAAGCTCAGTTGGTTCACTGTGGATAGGCATCAAAATCCTGTTAGTTGCGCAGTCTGAGTCGCCGAATGGTGCTTGTACGTGAGTTGCGGCTGGCGGAATCTGAGTAACTTTCGCGGAACTACTCTAGTTCCTCAACAGAAAATCTGCCCGGTTTGGCTTTCATTCCTTCATAAACAGCCGCTGCAGCGCACGTAATTCACTTCAACGACCAGTAGTTACCAGAGGAGATTAGTGTGCGGAGAACAACTATCAGAAAATGTTGTAACTGGTTTTTTATTTGTGTAATCACGACCCACTTTTCCCAATCTGGCCCCCATGGCCCCTAAAGAATATTTTCATCCCAGACCCCATGGAATTTTCTATGGCCCCCGTTGAGAATGGTTGCTCCAAACCACCTAACTGGGCTTATAAACTAGTGCTTCTTAACCCGTATAAAGTCGCTGGTCGTCGTCCAATTTAAGTAGTAGGACTGCGGAGGGCAAACAGCAAGGGAAGGACACTAAAACAGGAAAAAATAAAATCAGCACAGATAACATGAAGGAAATCAGTTGCAGCAAAGCGAAGCATGCAGAAGTTGCTACTTCCGGGACTTGAGTGGTTGCGTCTGATAAAGTTTATTGGAGTAGGCTGTAAAGTCCAAAAGGAACTTCGATGTATCCCCCAAACTGGATTGCTTACATGAGGACACGGTATCTCTTTTCCCTGATTATCTTGCACATTTACACTGCTTTACTGTGTGTGTATTTATTTCTTACACTCCATCACTGACACATCCTTGAGGTTTCAAGGTCATTCTTATTATTATGTTACTGTGACACTGCCCCAATACTCGATCCGCCCCACGCTGGACAGTTTCTGCCCACTTGCATTACGATTGCGAAACCTATTCGTAAGTCATGTACTGTATTTATTATGCCTTATAGAACCACGGTTACAGGATAATTCGTTTTCTTCTTCTGCCCAGACCGTGCGTTAAGTCTAGGTTTATCTGTTCGTAGTTTTAGTTTAGTTTTCGTACGACGTACTTAGTTTAGGCTTAGTGACGTTGGTACATAAGTTGAATAGTGCAATCATGTCCGTTTCTGGTGATTCTTTTGATGATGTTAACGTTACTGATGCTGAGAAACTTCGAAAAGCTGAATCCCGTATTCGCCTGTTGGAGTCGGCTTTAACGAGCATGCGCATGTTGCAGGCGAATACCGTTGATGCTAAGGACTACTGCGAACCTGAATTTGAGTCGGATGCTCTTATTAATGAACGTTCGCGATTTATTCCGGCCGACGATTGTGTGCTTTCTCCCGAAGTTGCCATCTGCTCGTCGTTTGTGAAGCCTGTTTATAGGGGTCCGCACGTCGCATCCGTAGCTCAGTTGGTTGGTCCGTTGGCATCCGACAGTACCGGCGTTCGATCCCAGTCGGGAGCGTTTTGCTCCGGCCTTCAATCTGACGGTAACCTGTGTCCGGAACGCAAATCCAGTGAATTTGGACCCAGCACGTCATCCTGTCTTCCAAAACGTGAACTGATAACATTCGATGGGGATCCTGCCCGCTATTGGATGTTTATGCGATGCTTCGAAGCCAATGTTTCCAGAACTACTTCCGATCCAACTATCAGGCTTTCATATCTGATACAATACTGTTGTGGCGAAGCCAAAGAAGCTATCGAAAGTTGCTTAATACTCGACCCTGGTGAAGGTTTTGAAGAAGCAATGAACATTTTGCGCAGACGCTTCGGACGGCCCCATATGATTGCTAGGACTCACATTAATGCTTTAACTGATGGCCCTAACATCAGGCCCAATGATTTCACAGCTCTGTCTCGTTTAGCTGTGGAACTGCGTTCGTGCTACTTGACGTTGAAACAGTTGAGGTATGAATCTGATTTGAACGCGTCCAGAACAATCAGCTCTATCGTCAGGAGGCTGCCTAACCATCTGCAATTCAAGTGGGCCGAGCATGCCGCCAGAGTTATCCGCACCGAAAGAGAACCGAACTTCATTGATTTGACAGATTTCGTGGATGAAACCGCAGACGTCGTCGATACTTATTTGTCCTTTGCCGCACGTCCCTGCGGACTACCGGCCATCACCGATAGAGGCAGAAGCTTAAACTCTCAGGGATATGCCGCTTGCCTAAACATTGCCGCTTCATCAGAACGAAATTTCCCTAAATGTATTTCCTGTGAACAACGCCACTACTTAGATCAGTGCGATGATTTCCGAAATCTCAACCTCAACAAACGTCTTGAATTCTGTCGCGCTCATAGACTGTGTCAGCTCTGTCTCAAACCGAATCATGACCTAGTAAATTGTCGATCACGAAGGTGTTGTGGGTCGAACAATTGTAAGCTGCTGCACCACCCGCTACTCCACGTTGATCGAAGCAACTTCGGAACACCAACCACTGAAGGATCCAGTTTTGCTCTCAGTCACATCGAACGCTCTGTTGTGTCGCTTGGCTTGTTACCTGTGCTTGTTTCTGGGCCTGCTGGCACCATTCGAACATTAGCCTTAATAGATAATGGATCAGATACTTCACTGATTGATTCAACATTACTTCAAGTTATCGGGGTTCAAGGGTCCGTGACTCCACTTAACATTAGCACCGTTGCTGGCCAATGTCAAGTGGAGTCCCAGTTGGTTAGTGTAACTGTTCGATCTATAGATGGGGATGAGGCGGTCCAATTAAATTCAATTAGGTCAGTCAGTCATCTCCCTGAAAAACTTGGAACGAGAAACAGGAACAACGATTTCGCCAGATGGTCCCACCTCTCCGATCTACGGTTACCGGAGTTGAAAGGAAGGATCGAACTTTTGATTGGTTGCGATAAACCATACCTACACTGGGCATTAGATCAGAGACGCGGGGATCCTGATGATCCGTATGCTGTTAAAACTCCATTGGGCTGGATCGTACTGGGACCGAACAAACAGCACGAGATTATGAAGGATCAATCCACGTCACTGATAGTTGATCGAACACGGAGGATCAACTCACTTCGCTGCGATACCACTGACCTTCATCAACCACTAGAGCAAATATATGTAAAGGAATTTGAGGGATTAGATAGTCCACGACTAACCATGTCTGTGAACTACGGACGCGCGTTAAAACCAATGGAAGCTTCTAAAAGAAAGGTTAGTACCCACTACGAAATTGCGCTACCATGGCAAGCTGGGAGACCTCGGTTACCAGATAACCGGCAATTCGCACTGATGAGGCTTCCCATGTTGAGGAAACGTTTGTTGAAGAATGCCGCACTGCGCCAAGTACACAGCAAGGTAGTGAAAAAAAATATATTTAGAGGATATGCTGAACTCGCTCCAGTACAGGAACAGCAGAAAAAAGGGGTAACCTGGTACATACCCCATCACACGGTATCGCATCACCGTAAGCCCTGTAAAGTGCGAGTGGTCTTCGATTGTCAAGTATCATACCATGGAACTTCTCTCAATCAACAACTTCTACCTGGTCCAGATATATCAAACAGTCTAGTAGGGATGCGTTTACGGTTCTGGTTTCACCCGATCGCCGTCGCGTCCGACGTTGAAGCAATGTTTCACCAGGTTAAGGTTTCTATTAAGGATCGGAATTGTTTGAGGTTCCTGTGGTGGAAGAATGGCAATCTTTGTTCATCGCCTATTGAATACCACATGACTGTACATCCGTTTGGCGCTACTTCGTCACCAAGCTGCGCTAACTTTACATTACGACAAGTTATCGTTGACAGTTATTGTGAATCTCAAACAAAGGCTGAACAAGTAGCAGAGAACGGTTTTTATGTCGGCGATTGTTTATTTAGTGTTGTTTCTGTTCCCGAAGCAACTGAACTCGTTATACACCTTACTCTTATTCCATCCGACGGAGGACTTCCTTTGACGAAATGGGTCAGCAATCGAAAGGTTATCGCGCTTCTACCTGACAACGAACTGAAGGTTCACGGAATAAGATATTCGACTGCGGACGATTGTGTTACAACTGCGCCTGGTTTAAACTGGAACGTCACCCAGGACCATCTAACTTTTATGCTGGAAGGTTTTAAGAAAACTTTGACCCGAAGAGCCATCCTCCCGTTTGCAGCTCCCGTTTACGATCTTCTCGGCTTCATTGCTCCCGTGCTACTTCCGGCAAAGCCACAGTTACAGAGTTTCGTAAAAAGAAAGCTGGAATGGGATGAGCCTCTTCCCGCAGAAGATCAGCAAGTTTGGAGCAGAAGAAGGAGACAGGTAAGACATGTGTTTGATATGTTTTGCCGTAGGCGGATTAGAGTACATCCACAGATACTGCAGAATAGACAGAAGTGGTTAACTGAAATCAGCGATCTTAGGCAGGGCGAGTTAGTTTTAGTTTGTGATATACGCACATCAAGAGGTCTGTGGCCTAAGGGTGTTGTGGAGAAAGTTATCAAGAGCAAAAACCAACTGGTTCGACAAGCACTGGTGAGGACACGCAAAGGCATATTGCGAAGAGACGTCAGACAGCTGTGCCTACTAGAAGCATACCAGGAAGAAGAGAATGATGCCGTGGAAGCCATCGTCCGGGATAGGAAACCGCCGGGGGAGTGTAAAGTCCAAAAGGAACTTCGATGTATCCCCAAACTGGATTGCTTACATGAGGACACGGTATCTCTTTTCCCTGATTATCTTGCACATTTACACTGCTTTACTGTGTGTGTATTTATTTCTTACACTCCATCACTGACACATCCTTGAGGTTTCAAGGTC